AGAGAGGGTTTCCAGCTAAATGCAGGGATCCGGTCAACTTTTCATATTCTCTTACTCCTGAACCTGTTGTTAACTTCAGCAAATAAGTAGAGAAAGTCATAAATTCACAAGGACAAAGAAACTATGGGAGGAGACGAGAGCTGGTGAGCAGCATCAGTGGGCTGCTGGAGGCTGGAAAGCAGATGGCAGACTTGAGAAAGCTGCCACGTAAGCACCTATGGATAAGGATACAGCAGGAATTGGGCCAACCCACCCTCCAGAGGACCAGACAAACCCAGAACCTGGTATTTCCTCAAGGCAGGAATAAGATGTGTGATGGAAATTAGGGGAACTGGTTGACCATCTGTGCAATGGACTGGGGGAACTTCCAGGTGCTTCTTTTTTTAAAGAATTATTTATTTGAAAAGCAGAAATATAAAAAGAGACAGAAAGAAAGAATCTTCCATCCACTGGCTTGCTCCCTAAATGGCTGAAATGGCCAGGATTGGGCCAGGCCAAAGCCAGGAGCCAGGAGCCAAGGGCTTCTTCCAGGTCTCCCACATTGGTGTAGGAGAAGCTGGATTGAAAGGAGCAGCTGGACTTGAACTGGCGCCCTTATGGGATACTGGCACTGCAGGCAGAGACTTAAACTTCTATGTTCATGGGCACTTTTTTTTTTAAGATTATTTATTTGAAAGGCAGAGGCAGAGAGAGAGAGAGAGAGAGAGAGAGAGAAATCTTTCATCCACTGGCTCACTGCCCTAATGGTCACAATGGCTGGAGCTGAGCCTATCCAAAGCCAGAAGCCAGGAGCTTCTTCTGGGTCTTCCATGCGGGTGCAGGGTCTAAGCACTTGGGCCATCTTCTACTGCTTTCCCAGGGCATAGCAGAGAGCTGGATCAGAAGTAGAGCAGTCGGGACTCCAGCCAGTGCCCATATGGGATGCTGGCACTGCAGGTGGTGGCTTTACCACTATGCCACAGTGCCGGCCCTGTCCATGGGCACTTCTAAGGCAGCCCAGCTCACAGACTCTGGGGCAGTCGCTCTGGATAGCATGTTTCATGTCATGTGCCTAACTCTGCCCACTCCCATCCATATCTGTAGCTGAATGGACCAGATATAGGCAGCTGACAATCAATCCTTGGCTGGCCAATGGCCTGGCACAGAGAGTTGTCAACTAGGGACAAATTGTGCTATTCAGTCTCTTTCCATCAAGCATTTGAATTCAGACACAGACATACAGCCTCTTGCAGCAAGAACTGACACCAATAAATCAAAGCAATGGGGGAGGAAACTCGAGCTTAGGCTAAAGCAATGAACGGCAGAACAGATTGAGGATGAGAAGCAAATAGAAAGGAGTGGATCTGTGACAACAGCAGAGTAGTGCTGCCTGGGAAGCCCAGTACAGCACAGGTGCTCCTCCCCAGAGCTGCCCATCACAATCAGCCTGAAGATGTTTCCAGGTGGAAGGGCTCAGAATCCATGACGCCTACCAAATCAGACCGTCCAGAGTATTCAGGGTTGAAAGGCTACACGCGCCATTCCTACCCTCCCTGGTCTGCAGTCCTTCTCCAAGGCACATTTCCTCTGCTGGGTCAGTGAGGTCCCCTGCCTTCCTAGCTTCCCTGTACGCAGTGACCCCCTTACCTCCCTACATAGTCTCCATTCCTTCTACCCAAAGTGTCTAACCCCAAGCGGTCACTAAAAGAGCTATAGAAAAGTGAAATTTAAGGAACCTCTCATGGGGGCTGCTAGAGAGGAACAAAAATCACAGGAGGGCGTTTTAAAAGATTTGTTTATTTATTTGAAAGGCAAAGGGACAGAGAGAGGAAAAGATAGCATGCACACAAGAAAGAGAGAAAGAGAGAGAGGACAGAGAGAGAGACAGAGGACAGAGAGGTCATCCATCTGCTGGTTTACCTCCCAAATGGCCGCAACAGTCATGGCTGGGCCAGGCTGAAGCCAGGAACCAGGAGCTTCTTCCACATCTCCCACATGGGCAGCAGTGGCCCAAGTATTTGGGTCATCCTCCACTGCTTTTTCAGGTGCATTAGCAGGGAACTGGATTGGAAGTGGAGCAGTGGGACTCAAACTGACCCTCCGATATGGGATACGAGAGTTGCAGGCAGTGACCTATCCCACTGCACCACAATGCTGACTCCAAGCTGATTTTCTTTAGTGCTATTTATAAATCCTTTAAAGAGGAAATCCCAAGATTATTTGTCTATAAATAAATTAAAAGTAAATGCATTCTTTTTTACTTTCTCTAGGTATATGAGGCTATCAATTAATGGGTCCAAGACCTTGTGCCACACAGAGAAGCCTGCTTGTCCCTTGGCCATCACAAAAAAAAAAAAATGTTTTCTGTGGTCAGTTCGTGGGTCTTTTGTCCTCCTCAGTGCCTGGTATGGTAGGAAGTATCTCAGACACAGGGAACTCTGCGGTGTTAGTGTTAAAACAATTCCTCCTGTAAATATTTCTGTGATTTATTTTTAAATTGTGATTCCAGGGAGTGGGCATTTAGCCTAGTGGTTAAGACACCCACGTCCTATATCCAAGTGCCCGTGTTTGATTCCGGGCTCTGGCTCTCTGGCTCCTGACTCCAGCTTCCTGCTAATGCAGACACTGGGAGGTAGTTGTGTCAGATCGAGTCACTGGTTCCTGACACCCATGTGGGAGACCTGCATTGCATTCCTCTCTCTCAGCTTTGGCCATAGCTGTATCCCAAGACAATGTAGGCATTTGAGGAATGAACCAGGCATGTGAGCACTCTCTCTGCCTATCTGTCATCTCTCTCACTCTGTTTCTCTGCATCTCAAACAACAACAAAATTGCAGAGCATCCGGGACTGGAACCGGCGCCCCAGGTCGGGATGCCAGTGTCCAAAGCGTTAACCCATTGTGCCACAATGCCAGCCTGATAAATCTTGTAAAAAGTGTTTGCGATGACAGTCAACTTTGTACCACAATCCCCAAGTCTCTCTGTCTATGCCCCTCTACCTTCACCTGGGTTCCAGATCCAAATCCTTGACTGCTTAACTCCACATCGCCCTTTTCACCAGACCTAAATGAAAGTTCTTCACTCTAGCCCTCCTACCCCACCCAGTTTTCCTGTTAATGAACCCATGATTCTCTCAGTCCCTGAGGCTTTGACCATTTATCATCATCTACCTTTTATTTTCTGCTGCACAGTTCTACAGATACATTCTTCAACACCTCTGTTGTTTCTGCAGTGAACCTGTGTGTTCCCATGCACCCTTCCTTTGGGGGACTACTGCTCTCTTGTTGGAGGTGAGGCTGCTAAGCAGAGCATCTGACCCCATCCTCACTGAGAAGCGTGCAAGTAACCCAGGCCGGCCATCCATGGTATCTCATCTCCCTGGCGAATGCTACTGGTTCACGTAGCAGACTTATGCCACAAGTAGGACCGATCATTCCTTTTTTGTGGAATTCATACTCAGATACTATCACAAATCCCCTCTCTGCTAGGATTGCTAATCTAGGAATAAATGAATATACACTACTAGCAAGCAAGCATCTTCCCAGCTATATGCAGGAAGTCTGTTTAGAGTAGAGAGAATGAGTGTGAAGCAAAGAAGGCACCTGAGCCAATTTGGAAAGGCAGAATTTATTTTGTTTTCAATAGTGGCAGAAAGAGAGAGAGAGATAATGAATTTCATCTGCTGGGGCATTCCCTGAAAGCTGGTAGCAGCCAGAGGACCAATGCCAGGAACCAGGATCTCAACTGAGATCTCTCAAATCAGGGTGGCAGGAAGTCAATTACTTGAGCTATCAGGGCTGTATTAGCAGGGAGCTGGAGCAGGAGCAGGGCCAGGTACTAAACCCAGGCACTGATATGGGATGCAGGTGCCTTAACCGGCATCTTAATGGCCAGGCTGAATGCTTACCCTGGAAAAGCAGATCTTTGATGCTGCTGACTCCCTAAAGCAATCATGCTTGAAGTCTACCCCAGCTCTGGTCTTTCCGTTGAGATGGGTCTAATCTCAATATCCTGCCTCTACCACTTGCTACCTAGGTGACACAGATAACCTACAAAAGTGTTCTGTGCCTCCCCCTCCTCATCTATATAGTGGAAGATCATGACGGTAGCTACTACCTCACAGGGTTGTAGGAAAACTAGCATGAGACAGTGCCAGGGCATTCTGCTGTTGTCTGGCCTCATCTGAATTAAAGGCGTGTCACAACAGAAGGGTACTGATGATAGGGCTGCCATCTCCTTAGAAACGTGCTTGGAGTTCCGAGTTCATCCTTCCTCTGTCTTTCTGTCACTACCCCACCAACCCGTTCAGGCCCCTGAGCAGTGTTTTAGCTGACTCGTCTCCCCTCTTCTTCAGTCTCTACAACCCACCTCATCGCCAGGGCCAGACCGCCTGCACTAACCAAAACCTTCATCACAGAGCATTCTTGCTCCTGTTTCCTTTTCAGACTCCCCTTTCTGGCTTCCAGGTTTCCACGTTCAGGGTGCGACCTGAACTGCCCCTCTCCCGAACACACTGCCCCGCCTGATGTCCTGTCTTTCACGAGAGCATGCTTCTAGCTCATGCCCCTCCGCTGCTCTTTCCGCCATCATCCTCTTTCGTCCCACCTTTCCCCTTGTAATTCCCTTCACCCTCTGATGCAAATTCTGCTTTCTGTATGTTGCCTTCTGTGGCTGTGGTGGTTTCCCCAGATTTTACCCTCTTTGCTATCCTGGATCATTTTCAATTCTGCATTACAGGCTGCAACAGGCAATCATAAAACAATCCCAGATTGCTTCAGATGATTCTAATCCAGCGAAAAGCAATGTTTTTCAATTACATCTTCTGGCATATCCCCTAACTCAGTGTAAGTATACAGCTGGCATCAAGTAAATACTCTCAGAGTCCAACTATAACACCAACCATTCCTATTTTTTCAATTCTGTAGTTTTAAGAAAACTTCTATCAAATGTGCAAACCTTGATGTACAAACTCAATTCTGAGTGTTACGTAAATACTTAAATAACAAAATCAGGCAATAAAGTGATGTTAAGATGGTTACATGTCTTTATTACATAAACACAATGTTCCTTGTGGGAGCTGGTCTACAGTTTGCCTCTTGTTTTAACAGAACATCTAGTATCTGTAGAAATTGTCTAAGAACGATTTACGAAACACTCTTACACCCCCTCCGAAAGAGAAAAAAACAAACAAAAAAAAAACGAAACAAAAAAAACAGTCTCAGTGCCTACGATTTCCCAACCAGATTCCTGAGAAAAATAATGGGTTTTATATTATCTTTCAAGATATAAAAAAAGAACAGACCTGTAAAATATGAGTCTCCTTTTGTTTACAAAGTTTTAGAAAAATACATCAGGGGATGCTCATATGTTTGTCCTTTGACCCAATATTCCAGTTTACCAGAAACAAAAAGGAGTAATACACAAAATACGCAAAGCACATTAATCTTGAAGCAATGTAATGTCAACATCGTCATGAACGCCTTGTAAAAGCAGCTCTCCTGGGTATGTAACAACCTTCCTCCGTTTCGCAGCTTTCAGAGTTCCCACTAAGGCTTCGAAGAGGTTGGCACATTTGTCATCCTGGAATAGGACCCCAAATTTCACGCTTATCTTTCCATCAGCATCTAATTAGAGAAAACACAATGTTAGAAAATGCAACCCGTTTCTTATCCCCCTGTATGGGAGAATCACAAAATCTTTTATAAGCATCTAACTATGCGCTACCCAAGATTTTTTTTTTTGGGGGGGGGACAAAGTTAGACAGTGAGAGAGAGAGAGAGAGAGAGAAAGGTCTTCCTTCCATTGGTTCACCCCCCCAAATGACCGCTACGGCCAGTGACGATCCAAAACCAGGATTCAGGTGCTTCCTCCTGGTCTCCCATGCGGGTGCAGGACCCAACCACTTGGGCCATCCTCCACTGCACTCCCGGGCCACAGCAGAGAGCTGGACTGGAAGAGGGGCAACCAAGACAGAATCCGGCATCCCAACTGGGACTAAAACCTGGGTGCTGGCGCCGCAGGCAGAGGATTAGCCTAGTGAGCCGCGGCGCCAGCCAAGGCTACCCAAGATTAAAACTTAACACTTTAATAGTTATAAATTCAACGAAGTCTCTTCTCAGATCCAAAAGTGATGAAACAAATGTACATCTCTTAGCCTTAGTATTATCTAAATGAAGACTGAATAAAAGCCAAGAAACATTGAAAAAAGGCCAATATTCTACAATGCCTTGTATACAGATGAATTTCTAGTTCTCTCTCAATTTCTCTTTTTATTAGTATGTTAGTTGCTAAATTAATAAAAATAGCAAAGGAGAAATCCAGGATCAAGAACAGAGTTTCCCTATGTTCTGAACATACTTGGGGTAGGAAGAGGGGCCTTAAAACCGCATTATCCTCAGACATTCATCATGATTACTAACTCACAATCCCTGGTGGAAGGCCCAGAAGTCTGTATTTAACAGGGGCTCTAGATTATCTTGTTTGGAGGCCAATTTTTAACACAGGCATTGAAAATCAAGATACACAAAAAGTGGATCTGTTGTTAAAAACCAATCAACTGAAGGCGAGCATTTAGCCTAGCAGCTAACGTACCCACATCCCATACTGGAGTGTCTGGGCATCGATTCCCAGCTCTGGCTACCAATTCTAGCTTCTTGTAAATCAGATCCTGGGAGGCTGCGGGGAATGGCGCAAGTACCTGGGCACCTGCCACTCACCTGAGAGCTCTGTATTGAGCTCCTGCCTCCTGGTTCTGGGCCCAGCCCAGCCCCATCCTTTTTCCAGCATTTTAGGGACTGAACCAATGAGTGGGAGCTCTCTGTTCTGGCACTGGCTCGCTCTCTCCTCCCCCACTCTCCTCCCCTCCCTCTGCAAAAATGTATTCCACAATTAAAAATCAATCTAACACCTGAAAACTTGGAGATAAGGGTAATCCCAGATATCTCCCAATTGTTCATTTCTTAGATCACCTGGCTGAGCCTTGACCCCTTCCTACCCTGCTGCCGCAAGTTCTGAAGAAAACGGAGGAGGAGGAAGAAAAAGAAGAAGAGGAGGAGAAGGGGAGAAGCCATCACAGTCAGGGGAGGGCTGCTCCTTGGCCTGTGCCACAACTTGTAACCTGATGGTTAGTAACCTCCGCCTGTGAGCACAGCACTGTGGTGGGCAGTAGAGTGAGACGGAAGGAAGTAGAGAATCACTTTCTAGCTTTCAAAGAAGTAGCTTCAACTCCCATGAGGCAACAAGAAGCACACACATAATCAGCAAAGTCATACACAAAGCAACAGGCCGCTGTACAAAGCAGTGTGCCACTGCTGGCCAAGGAGTGGCAGAGACACCACATTCTCCAGTGTGGAGGGCAAGATGACAGTGGCTATAATGTTAGGAGGACTTCATGGAGGAGGTGGTACCTCTTCTGGACTTTCACAGTGAAGTGTAACATGGTGCTCTTTAAAAACATGGCTCACTAGGCTAATCCTCTGCCTGCAGCGCCTGCACACCGGGTTCTAGTTCCAGTCGGGGCGCTGGGTTCTGTCCCGGTTGCCCCTCTTCCAGGCCAGCTCTCTGCTGTGGCCCGGGAGTGCAGTGGAGGATGGCCCAAGTGGTTGGGCCCTGCACCTGCATGGGAGACCAGGAGGAAGCACCTGGCTCCTGCCTTCGGATCAGCGTGGTACGCCAGCCGCAGCAGCCATTGGAGGGTGCACCAACGGAAAAGTAAGACCTTTCTCTCTGTCCCTCTCTCTCACTGTCCACTCTGCCTGTAAACAATAAAAAAAAAAAAAACAAAAACAAAAAAAACAAAAAAAAACACACATACACAAACAAAACACACACAAAAAAACATGGAAGTCCTCAGTGGAAATCTCTGCCACCTACTGGTTTGGCCTTGGGGATCTTAATACCTCCCTCAGCCTGGCAGGGAACACAGTTCTACAGCACCCAGCACAGGGCCTGGCACGTGCTGAGCGCTCTGTCGGGGACCACAGGCTCTGTGAAGGGGGGGTGAGCGTGTGCAAACTAGAAGCACCGTGCAAACAAGGGCAGCACCCAGGAGAGCAGCGGCTAGGGTGCGGACTTGACTCGTCTGAAGGAAATTACTTAACAGAGCTTGCAAAGGGAAACACATAGAATCTGGCCACGCTGCTCCTGGAAAGCAAAGACACAACACTTGTTTGATTTTTAGACCCCCAGCAGCGCGGCCCTTGTTTTCAGTGGGAATCTATCACAGAGCTGCTTGAGCGACTTCAGGCCAGTGCACCTGGCTCTCTGGGCTCCGGCGACCTCACCCACCCAGAGAGAATGACGCCCAGCCCCCCAACAGAGCCTTGCGAGGATGAACAGGGCCCAGCACACAGAAAATGATCAGTTTAGGTTAAGGTTTAAAGGCACCAAAGGCGAAACCCGGGTGCGGTCTTGAGTTCTACTCTCTCCCCGCTCAATCTGTCCAATGTCCACGTGACTCCACCTTCCTGGTGCCTTCTGCAGCTCTCGCCTCCCTTCTCGAGAGACAGTAATTCCCGAATCGTTTCTTACCTGCATCCCTGCAAACTGACAACCCCTTCCTGTCCCCCTTTCTTCCGCTTTGCCCTCTCTCCATTGGTACAGAATAAAACACGTGGGCGAAGCTTTATAAGATGCAGATCCCATTAGTTCTCTTCTACTTTAATCTGGCAATGGCGCCCTATCACCTTCAAAACCAGGAAGCAAGCGAAGCCCACGGCCTCACAGACAAGGTTCTTGATGCTGTGGCCTTGCACCCATGCCCAGCTGAGCTGCTGCCATCCAAGTCCACAGCCCTGCTGATCCAGTCATAATAAACTGCTTGCTGTTGCCAAGGTGATGAGAGATCCTGCCTCCATAATTTTGCCCAGGTTGAACCATCTGTCCAGACCCCTTTTCCTAGCTACATTTTTTTCTTCAAGGATGGACTTCGATGTCACTTTTCCTGAGAAGGCTCTCATAATTCCCTAAGTTAATAGCTCTTCTTAGAACTGGGTATATCTATCCATCAAAGCACCCAGGATCAATTACAGTAATAATAGCTAACATTTATTGAGTACTTGCTATGTTCCTAGATCTGTCCCACACATTTGAGTCATTAAAAATCACTTAATCCTCATTTCATAGAAAAGAAAACACCACTGACTGCAAGAAGCAATGCTATTTTATAGTCAATTAAACCGCCAGTTTAACTATAGCCTACCAAGGTGCATCCTTATTTTAGAGATTTAAAAAGGTGTCTTTGACTCACTGAAATGAAGTACTATTATTAAATTAGACAAATAAGGAAACCAAGGCACAGAAAAGATTAGTGATATGCCCAAGATCGCACGGGAGGCATCTGGGGGAGCTGGGATTCTGGCAGAGTCTGACTCCAGAGTCCACGCTGTGACCACTCCTGATACCCGCTTCCAGCCCAACTCTCAGCTACCTCCAGAGGCCCTCAAGGGCTCAGCTGGAACTTTTTTTGTTTTGTGTTTTTGCATTTCCAGAGCTTGAGCACAAAGAAGGTACAGATGCTGAGATATCTGTTGAGTGAAAGAGTTACAGTCTCCAAAGAATCTTTCTCAATCTTTTTTCACTCGAAGGAAAATAAGAGTTTAAAGAATCTGACTTAAAAAAAAAAAAAAAGATAAAGTCGGGTTTATCCATTTCCAGTGTAAGTTCACATATCATATACGTAATTAGTCAAAATTACTCCAGACACAACTTAAATAACTAACCACAACATGTCAGAAGATAACTTCTCTCCATATATGCTTTGCAGCTCAGTGCGTCATGTTTTAGCAGGAACAAGAGACTCAAGGTGGGGCTGGCGCTGTGGCATAGCTGGTGAACCTGCCTCCTGCAGTGCTTGCATCCCATAAGGGCACCGGTTCAAGTCCTGGCTGCTCCACTTCCAATCCAACTCCCTGCTAATGTGCCTGGGAAAGCAGTGGAAGATGGTACAAGTCTTTGGACCCCTGCACCCACATGGGAGACTGGGAAGAAGCTCCTGGCTCCTGGCTTCTGGCTTCTGGCTTGGGATTGGCCCAGCTCCAGCCATTGTGGCCATTTGGGGAGTGAAGCCATGGATGGAAGACCACTTTCTCTCTCTCTCTCTCTCTCTCTCTCTCTCTCTGACTTTCAAGCAAATAAATAAATTTTAGAAGAAAAAAAAAGAAGGAAATAAAGTCAGGTGTCCCAGTGACACTGCAAATTGTAAAGATTTTTCATGCTTATAAAAGCTAGGATAATTATCTTAAGATTTCCAGTTTGTAAAGCTGCTAATTTTGAAGCTGAGTTGCAGTTTGCTTGAGTAGAATAACGACACTCTTCCAGCAGTCTGAAGGTTAGACTTTTAAAACCAAGTGAATTTGACCAATAAACACTAGGTTGACATGGACAAGGAGGAGAAAAATCCTACACATCTTTGAAAATAGGCCTTTAACAATCCAAATGGTATACTGCAAGAACAACATGGCAGGAAAAATCAAGAATGTAGCAAGAGAAGCATGCTGGAGCATCAGCATTGAAAACAAGCCTCGCCAACTCCCATCACGCAGGTATGCTGAAGTCGGTCGGAGAAAAGTGGGGTTAGGAAAGATGGTCCATTTGTTCATTTGGGAAACTAAATAAATTGCATAATCCAATGTCTTCTCAGCATTCTCTTTAAACAGCAGATTCGTTCTCATTCTGAATTCTACCAGTGGATTTCCTCCTTAACTCACCTGCCACATACTTCAAAAACCCTACAGAGATTCCAGGCTTCATTGAGTGTCCCCAACTACAACAACTTTCAGCAATCATTTTCATCGGGATTGTACTGAATTGAATGTCAGCACTCCACAGTTTACTACTGCTTCTTTTCTGATAATTGCCTCATGAGTTTTTATCCATTGTCATTAACTAACTAGTAAGATCTTTGAGGGAAAGGAACATGGATTACTTATACTTGCTCAGGGCTTGGTCTATGTAAATGTGTAACAAATATTAACTGGCCATATGATTAAATTCACTTCTGGCTGAGTTCAGACCTTCTTTTATATGCCTCCTTTATCTTTTCTTTGTACATTTCAGTAATGATGACTCATGTTTGATATAGAAATAAAGTGACTTAGAGAAGACCAAAAAGAGGAAACGGTAGAAAAAATAATGCCCTCCCCAATATATTCACGTTCTAACCTCCAGAATTTGTGATTATGCTGCCAAAGATGGGAAAAGGGATCTTCCAAATGCAATGAAATTAAGGATCCTGAAATGGGGGTATTATCCTGTATTATTCAGTTGAGTCCAGTGTAACCACAAGGGTCCTTAAAAATGGAAGTGAGAGAAAGAAGAGGAGGCCAGAGGAATGTGACACCAGGACTCTGAAGATGGAGACAGGCAGTCATGAACCGAGGACTATGCACAGCATCTAGAAGCTGGAAGAAGGCCAGGAAACACATTCTCCCCTAGAACCTCCAGAAGGGAACCTTGTCACTACTCGATCCTAGCCAAGGGAGACCCTTCTCAGACTCCTGACCTGTAGAACTGTTAAGATAGGCCGGCGCCGCGGCTCAATAGGCTAATCCTCCACCTAGCGGCATGGGCACACGGGGTTCTAGTCCCGGTCAGGGCGCTGGGTTCTGTCCCGGTTGCCCCTCTTCCAGGCCAGCCCTCTGGTATGGCCCGGGAGTGCAGTGGAGGATGGCCCAAGTCCTTGGGCCCTGCACCCCATGGGAGACCAGGAGAAGCACCTGGCTCCTGGCTTCGGATCAGTGCAGTGCATCGGCTGAAGCATGCCAGCCATGGCGGCCATTGGAGGGTGAACCAACGGCAAAAGGAAGACCTTTTTGTCTGTCTCTCTCTCTCACTATCCACTCTGCCTGTCAAAAACAAAACAAAACAAAACAAAACAAAAAAAAACAAAAACTGTTAAGATAGTAAATGTGCTGTTTTATGTCTCCAGGTTGGTTGCCATCTGTCATGGCATCGATACAAAGTGAATGCAGGGGACATCTGATGTGATGGCACAAGAAAAGCTTCAAACCATGTCCTGTTACTTCAAAGGATTTGTGATTCACAAGCAAAGGGGGCTTCCAATAAGGAGAATCAAGTTGCAATGACACAATCAATCTTGTTAGACACTGCTTTTTACATGATGCAATTTTAAAACATTGAATCTTATTATCCTTGTTGTTGCTGAATATGTCTATCGTTCTTATTTTTAAAATGCTCCCCAGGGGCCGGCACTGTAGCACAGTAGGTTAATCCTCCACCTGAGGCTCTGGCATCTCATATGGGCACCAGTTCTAGTCCTGGCTGCTCCTCTTCCAATCCAGCTCTTTGCTGTGGCCTGGGAAAAGCAGTGGAAGATGGCCTAAGTGCTTAGGCCCCTGCACCGGCATGGGAGACCGGGAAGAAGCACCTGGCTCCTGGCTTCGGATCGGCGCAGCTCTGGCCGTTGTGGCCATTTAGAGAGTGAACCAATGGAAGGAAGACCTTTCTCTCTGTCTCTCTCTCTCACTGTCCATAACTCTACCTCTCAAGTAAATAAATAAAATCTTAAAAGAAAAATGCTCCCCAAATTTTTGAAAACTTGTCTGAGATGTGCCAAATACCTAAAGCTACAATAGTAACTTTCTTTTTTTTTTTATTTTTATTATTATTTTTTTTTGACAGGCAGAGTGGACAGTGAGAGAGAGAGACAGAGAGAAAGGTCTTCCTTTGCCATTGGTTCACCCTCCAATGGCCACCGCAGTCAGCGTGCTGCGGCCAGTGCACCGCACTGATCCGATGGCAGGAGCCAGGTGCTTCTCCTGGTCTCCCATGGGGTGCAGGGCCCAAGCACTTGGGCCATCCTCCACTGCACTCCCGGGCCACAGCAGAGAGCTGGCCTGGAAGAGGGGCAACCGGGACAGAATCTGGCGCCCTGACTGGGACTAGAACCTGGTGTGCCGGCGCTGCAAGGCAGAGGATTAGCCTAGTGAGCCGCGGCGCCGGCCAATAGTAACTTTCATTACAGCTTCACTAATACCACCAATTTCACATGTCACTCTCTTCACAGCTGCTGCCTAGTTGTGGCTGAAGAAAAAGATGACTAAAAAAAAAAAAAAAAACCCTAAAGCTGGGTCTATTTATTTTAGTTGTATTATTTTAGTTATATGTATACAAATACTTTTTTGTACAAAACTCAAGAATTTGGGGGAAATAAAGACAATTTTGTAGAATTTCAATCTAAGTCCATAGTCATGTGGAAGCTTATAAAATGATGGCCAAATAAAGCAGAACATATGAATTTCAATAGCATGACAGATAAAAATCTGAACATGATTCAATTCCTGGATTTTGACACAACCAGATGAAGGAAACTCAGCACCGTTTTTCCAAATCTAAAGACAGAGGAATATCTCAACCTCTCCCTGCACTGGAATCCCAATATCTCAGTAGGTCTGTGTCTCCAGATGTCACTGCCCGGTTCTAGGCAGTCACCACCAGGGACGTGGGCAAAGCGGCCACAAGGATAGCCCAGGGTGACCCCTTTGACCAGAATGCCCGTCCTGCCTGCTTTGAGTAAACACAGAAGAAATACTCAGAGTCAGATACTTACTTTTTGAACCTAAACGATGAATTTCCTCCACTAAGAGGTTGACTTCATGTTCCACGTTCATTGCTACCTGAGACAGAAAAGTAAGCATATATTATGACCATTTGCACATCCCACCAAGCCCAAAGGCCCTTTTCTTCATGTAGCGTTTATGGCGGTTAATTCTCCATGTTCCTCTTCCTAAAAATACTTGAGTGGTAGGTACGAGTGGGCAGTACAATGGCCCCATGGTTCTACCTCTCTAACTCGCTCACTCGGCTGCCTCCACTCAGTTCTCCACATCTGCTGGTGAGAAGGCAGTCATTCTCTTGGCACCTGCTGTTAACTCCACGCAGGGCTCTGTTAAGCACCAAAATACAAACGTGAGCAACACGGATCTTCCTGTCCTCAGAGAGTATGCCTTCCAAAAGCCCAGAGAGGCCTGGAACCAATGTCAATGTGGCCAGCACTCGGAGCGCTGTGTCTGCTGCACAAGGGGAGCACGGAGGAGGAAGCCACCCAAGGCTTCTTGGGGCTCCTTGGGGCTCCTTGGGGCCAAGTGCGGGGGGGGGGGGCGCAAACAAGCAAAGGTGTTCTGTGCATGCGGAAGAGCTCAGGCAAAATCAGGGAAGTGAAAGGGAAAAAATGTAGCACATTTGAGACAGGCCCTGGGTGAGGTGCTGGGGATACCAGGATGAGCAGTCATCTTTCCTGCCCTTCAGGAGTCTATAGTCTAGTGGAGGAGGCAGACTGATACAATGTTTTTTTTTTGTTTTTTGTTTTTTGACAGGCAGAGTGGACAGTGAGAGAGAGACAGAGAGAAAGGTCTTCCTTTGCCGTTGGTTCACCCTCCAATGGCCGCCGAGGCCGGCGCGCTGCGGCTGGCGCACCGCGCTGATCCGATGGCAGGAGCCAGGTACTTCTCCTGGTCTCCCATGGGGTGCAGGGCCCAAGCACTTGGGCCATCCTCCACTGCACTCCCTGGCCACAGCAGAGAGCTGGCCTAGAAGAGGGGCAACCGGGACAGAATCCGGCGCCCCGACCGGGACTAGAACCCGGTGTGCCGGTGCTGCTAGGCGGAGGATTAGCCTAGTGAGCCGTGGCGCCGGCCGGACTGATACAATGTTAAGTCAGGCAGTGATCACTTCCAGGTCATGTGCAGGGGGCATCCTGTCCCTCTCTGGGGAGTGCACCAGAGAGCTGTGTCCAAGACCATCCATCATTGGATAGGCAGGAATCCAGAACCCAGAGCAGCTGAGATTTCTCTTGGCTCACTATGTCCTCCACGGCCTGGGTCATCACTACTCCAGCCTCCTCTACACCACCCAAGAATTCTGATGGGACTTCTTTGGATCTCTCTAACATCCCCTGCTCTCTGGCCTCCAGCCTTTACACATACTGCTTCTTTGACCCACACTAGCACCATTCCTTTCTTGGGCTAATTCCCACACGGCCAGTCCCAGCTCGGACATAACTTCCTCCAGGAAGAGCTCTGTCTCCCGCAGTCCTGCGTGGCCTCTTCATGTCACTCAGCTATGGGTGGGAAGCCCCCCTCTGGAGGACCTGACTGTAATGCCCACTGCACTATCACTTCGGGCGCCCAGAGTAGAGGTTAAACAAATCTTGGTTTCATGCACTGGAAAGAACAAGCAAAGGCAACAAAGGAAATGAAACTATATTTGCAGCAACCGGGTAGAATATGCCTGAGTTCGGTTTGTTTTCAAATGATAAATTTTCCAAGCTGAATACAAGGGTATTTCAAAAAATCATGGAAAATGGAATTAAAAGATAAATATTTTGGTACAAGAGATATTTTAAATCTGTGCATAGTTTTTTCATAATGTATATTTTCTATGAACTTTTTGAAGACCCCTTGTAGGCACAGATTTCAAAAAAAAAAATGTTGAACCAAAATAAATTTATCTTTCAATTCTATTTTCCATGAACTTTTGGAAGTACTCCCATAAGGGGCTAAAAAAGGGGGTTTGCATATAGGGTTTTCTTCATGGTGATGACTTGGAAGAAACAACTTTATCCAGATGGATTGTAGCTAGTTCCTGGTAGCTTCTGAAAACATGAGTGACATCTCTAATTATATACCACCTGTTTAAACGATATTGACTGGGACACCAGATTGTCTATCAACTAATAATTAAAAGTGTCACTACCATCTGCTATGCTACTTGTGTGAATATTATAATTTAAGGAGCCTGTATCACAGTAAAGTACAAAATCCTCAATTAAATGCATCTACATAAATCTTATCAAAAATTATAGTGTTCAAATATTGGGGACTGTGTTGGTGAAATCCTATCTGTAACATTATATGCCATTCAAAATTTAGTTGAAACAAGGAACCAAAACATGCTAGCATGTAGGCAAAAAGACATGTAGGCAGAAGACACGCAGGCAGAAGACATGTAGGCAGAAGACACAGCCACTCCACTGAATGCCTCAATGCTAAGCCCTGAGAAAAATGATGGGGAGAGAGCTGTGAATGTCAAGTTGGAGCATTTGACTGAATTTTGCCCGCCCATCAGCCATTCTCCATCCTGACACCATCTGCCAGTGTGTGTTTGTATAGAGCCTTTCTCTCCTTGTTCTACACTTAGGCACTTGAGGAAGTGCCTCTTCCTAGGCTCCAGAAGTGTTTCAGAACCAGAATGACTGGTTTAAGGCATAAGATGGGTGACCCCATCCGGAACAGAGGGGGTCTGCCCTGGGATTTTGCTGGGACTGGTAGTAAAATGACAATATCCTTCTATCTGTTCTATGATGAATGTTTACAGCCCTTGATGTACGTGGCCACCTGGTGGTAAGAGCCTGCCAAGAACAAAGCTAACACAAAGGGAAGTCCCGCCATCAACAAGGATTGAGCCGGTACAGAATCCTGAATTTTCAGGTTTCAGGAGCACATAATCTTTCCTGGTTTTGTTTTTGCTGGTTTATGTGACTTTCTGTCACTTCTACTCCAAAGAATCTTGACTCACATAGTGAGTTTAGAAAAGATCTGCTATTCTTTTGAAGAACTAAAGCTGTTTTCATAAACTTTCCTAAGAGTTTTGCTTTGTGTTGCTCTATTGGGCAGGAGAGATAAATTTCATAGAAAAGGAAATTTGAAGGCATATTAAAAAAAAATACTGCCTAGCAGGGGCCAGCATTGTGGTACAGCAGGTTAAGCTGTAGCTTGAGATAGTGGCAGCCCCTACAGGAGTGCTGCCTTGAGTCCCAGCTGCTCTGCTTCCAACCCAGCTTCTTGCTAATGCTCCTGGGAAGGCAGCAGATGATGGCCCAACTATGTTTCCCCTGGCCAGCCCTATGGGAGACACGGATGGAGTTCCTGGCTCCCTGTTTCAGCCTAGCCCAGCCCTAGCCATTGTGGCCATTTGGGGAGTGAACTAGGAGATGAAAAATCTTTTTCTCTCAGTCTCTCCTTCTCTCTCTGACACTCTTTCAAATAATAAGTAAATCTTAAAAAAAAAAAAAAAAAAAAAAAAAAAAAAGGCGGGGCCGGCGCTGTGGTGCAGCGGGTTAACACCCAGGCCTGATATGGGCGCCAGTTCAAGACCCGGCTGCTCCACTTCCAATCCAGCTCTCTGCTGTGGCCTGGGAAAGCAGATGTCCCAAGCCTTTGGACCCCTGCACCCGCGAGGGAGACCTGGAAGAAGCTCCTGGCTCCTGGCTTCAGATCGGTGCAGCTCTGGCTGTTGTGGCCAATTGGGGAGTGAACCATCGGATGGAAGATCTCTCTCTCTCCCTCTCTCTGCCTCTCTTCTCTCTCTGTGAAACTCTGACACTCAAATAAATAAATAAATATTAAAAAAAAAAGAAGAAGAAGATGGGCTGGCATTGTGGTGCAGCAGGTTAAGCTGCCACCTACAATGTGGCATCCCATATGAGTGCCTGGTCAAGTCCTGGCTGCTCCACTTCCAATCCAGCTTCCTACTAACGTGCCTGGGAAAGCAGCAGATGCATTAGTACTTGGGCCCCTGCACTCATGTGGGAAATCCAGATGGAGTTCCTGTCTCCTGGCTTCAGCCTGGCCTAGACCCTGCCATTGTGGCCATTTTGGAAGTGAACCAGTGGATGGAAGATTTCTTTTTCTTTCTGTCTCTGCAACTGCCTTCCAAGTAAATAAATAAATATAAGGAAGGAGGAAGGGAGGGGGGAATAAGAGAGGGAGGAAGGAAAGAAGGAAAGAGAAAGAGAAAGAAAAGTGATGAACAATGAAAAACGACTGCACTGGGTTCTTGGGAACATTTCTGCAGAAGTAGTAAGGATCTCTGAGGGACAAGGAAATTCATCTGTCCTGGACCAAGCGAGAAGGAAACAGCCAGGATTAAGGGCCTCTTCTACTCTCGGGTTCTCTGGTGCCCTCCCCGCAAAACCTATCTCTCCTTTAAAAAAATACTTTATTTAAAGATCAGAGTGATGAATGGGAGCGTCAAACACACACACACATGCAGAGAGAGAGAGAGAGAGAGAAGGGAGGGAGGGGAGAGAAAGAGAGAGAGCGTGCTTCCATTCACCAGCTCACTCCCCAAATGCCCACAAATGCCAGGGCTGGACCAGGCCAAAACCAGAAGCCAGGAACTCCATCTGTGTTGCCCACCTGGATGGCAACATGCAGCCAGAATTCTAACTTGCTCTCAATTATGGGATGTGGGTGTACCAAGTGGTGGCTGAACCCACCGCACCACTGCACTGCTGGGAATATGCATCTTTAACATCTTTCTCCATTGCTTCCACCCACACCCAACCACACACTTCAGACTTAGTTCTCCTTTAATAATGAAAACCAAAAAAGCAAATCTCTTATTTTTTAAAGACTTGTTTGCTTATTTAAAAGGCATAGCAACAGAAAGAGAGAGAGAGAGAGAGAGAGATCTCATCTACTGGTTCCTTCTCCCAAATGGTTGCAACAGCCAGGGCTGGGCCAGGCCCAAGCTAGGAGCCAAGAACTCCATCTGGGTCTCCCACATGGGTGGCAGGAGCCCAAGTGCTTGGGCCATCTTCCACTGCCTTCCCAGGTGCATTAGCAGGGAGCTGAATGGTAAGTGGAGCAGCTGGCTGAGCTTGGATATGGGATGCGGGCATGGCAGGCAGTGGTCCCACCTGCTGTGCCACAACACCCCTCGCATGGTGTACAGCGTGCACACCTGCATTGTATTAAGCAGCCGGACAGTCATCCAATTTTAAGAAAGGAAGGAAACCAACACTTCTTTATAATTCATTACACATCTGTTAATTCAAGAACCTGGCAAAATACTCATAATTAATCCCCATTTTTGGATAAAGAAACAGGCTCAGAGGGGTTAACTCCCCACAAACAAAAGCTGCTTCCACCGCATCCTGCGTGTTTGTCTTCCTCTCTTTGTTATGCAAATGATCTAAATTTAATAGTGAGTTGCTTCTGTGGGACACGGATACTGGCTCAGGACTTAACTAAGAACCGCTTCCCAAGCTACAGCAATCTCCCTGCTCAGGCCCCTAGAAGTAGAAAAATCGCCGGCTTAGAAACTACAGCTAGCATACATCATCCCCCCATGTTTCACTCCCTTATTTTATGATCCGAGGCGGGAGAGGAACAAAGTAGGAAAACACCCATTGAGACTCGGAGCTTGGCAGGCCCAGGACGTCTTATAAGAAGCACAGCAGCCTAGGGCTGCAGCGAGCAAGAAGAACAGAACAATGGGGAGAGGCCAAAGCAGACGGCCTCCGGGTGAAAAAGAGCTAGGCAGGGAGAGGCTGCCCCAGAAGAAAGGAAGGGGGGCTCAAAGGGAGGCGACGGCAGATGCTAGCGGGGCCCGGAATTGTCACAGAATCTCATTAGGCTTTGTGCGTGGGATCACAAAGAGCGCCGCCTGCAGGGGGCGGCCGCCGCCTCCGCTCCCCGCCCACCGCCCACCTATACACCCAAGGCTGTCCTTACTCTCGGCTACCCTGGGTGGACAAACGGGGTTCAACAATAACGCCGATTGTCCATGAACTTTCTGGGGTCCTCTCAGATTTGTTATTCTTTAAAAAGTTTTCAGGTAATACGTGGAGATTCTCTAAGCCCACCGGAGTGGGGACCCTGCGCATCAGGAGCCGAATGAACACCCAGGGGCCACATGGTGTCCAGCCTCCCCTTCTGTGCCCGCCCCGCAGTCACTCAGGGGCGGCCGGCGCGGCTCCTGGCTCCTCCTCGGCTGCCGCGCGCGCTCCATATATGGTCAAAGCTGCGCCAAGTTGGCGATCCAGCCGGGTAGGGGGTCCCCAAGAGCTGCGCCCTGCAGGGTCATCCCACGCTCACCACCGGCGCCGATGCCTGCTAGGGGAGCGCAGCGCTGGGGCCCCTGTCTCGGGGCAGCGGGGAGGGCTCCGGGAAGGACCGAGTCCCGGACGCCTTTGTCTCTGCAACTCTACGCCGCGAGAGCGAGCGCCCAAATCCCGGGTGAACACGCGCCCTGCCCCCGACTCCTCGGTCCCCTCGTGTCCCCTGCCTTCCCCTTCACGCCCCAAGCTGGAGGGCACAGAGCCGCATCACCTCGGGCACTGCAGAGGTCGCTGCCCTGAGACCAGCGCATTCCCTGGGGCATCCTCCTCTCCCCTCTCCCCAGCCCTGCCCCACCCAGCTCCTCCGGAACGGGCTCCCCAACCACAGCCGACTGCAAACCGACACGTTGCACCGCGGTAGAAATCGCGACCGCGCTTCCCCGTCCGCCCCCGGCCGGCGAACAGTCACGTGAGCCGAGTGCGGAAGTCCGCGGGAGAGGTGGAGGCGTGCGCGCCGCGCGCCCACCCGGGCGCCTCCTCGGCCGCGCAGGTGTCACCTCCGCGCGCCTGTGCCCCTCGCGGTCCCCGCAGCCCACGCTGCCTGCCACGGCCGTGGCCTCCACCCGACACGCCCGCGCCACGTCTTCCCCGGGGACGCACGCACCTCTCTGCCGGCTTCTCTTTGGCAATGAGGAACTGACGCGGCGTGGGTCGGGACCCGGTGTTCTCTCAGTGCACGAGGGAGGAAGTGGTCGTGGCCAACAGAAAGACTGCAGTGGAGGAGGAGGAACGCAGAGAAGAGTTTCTGCGCTCAGGAAAGGGGCCGCCCACTCTCCCGAGGACAAGCCTATGAGGAGGAAACTTAGGGGAGGAGACGCGGGAGCGGGCCGACTCCAGACAGGTGGCGAGGCGCCCGGGGCTTCTAGGAACACCGACCCGGAGCTTCGATTCCCTCCGCGATACTCAGAGCCGTGATACTCAACCCCTGGGTCTCATCCTGGGCGCTGATTTCCTGCCGGGGTTTCTCTCCGAGCGTCGGAAACAAAGCGCCCCCAGCGTGCGGAAGTCAGGTCTCCCAGGAAGGCAGAGCGACGTGGCCGCTGGCTTGCCAGGGGCCGGAAGAAAAAAAAACGACCCCTAAAGAAATTTGCGGGGTGACGAAAATGCATTCCTGAAAAGCAGTCCGTCCTACTGCAAGGAAATGTGACGTGGACAAAGCTAGTCCTTGACCCCGCGTCGGTGTAGCTTTCGTCCTTTCTTTATTCACTGCTTCCTACACTTGGAATTCCAATCCATTTATGGATTCTCCCTTGAGTGTAGCCCCTGCCTTGTTCATCTGTGCGTGCGTGCGTGCGCGTGTGTGGGAGATTCTTGCCGTACCCAGAGTTTCTTTACAAAGGAAGCCCAAGGCCAGAGACAAGTGACCTTAAGTGTTCCTAGGAACGGGGTCGCGCTATTAACACAAAACACGTGACCTCCCCCCACCCTGGCTGATTGAAGTAAGCATCATCCATTGACCCAAGAACCCAGTCCCCACACCGGTGACCTGCGGTCCACAGTTGTCCCCAAGCAGGGTGATAATCCCTCGTTATCATGTAACTCTCGGATAAAACTCTGATCAGTAGGAAGTCGGTAGGATTCTCCTTTGGAATTGGAAAGTGACAGTACAGAGAAGGAGCCATCTGAGAGAAAGTTCGGTGAGGAGAGGGGAGGGACGGTGGGCAGAGGTGCCAGAGGAGCTTCCGGTAAGCAAGATGTCTAAGCAAGCAGAAACCGGGAAGATGACGTCCAAGACGGGTGGACGCAGAGGGTGAGGGAAGCCGAGCCGGTGATGGAAGAAGGGCCTGTGTCCCAGGGCTGAATGAGTAGCCAGGTCCCTGGGCTGCGCTGATCCATCTGCTTCCCAACGCACGGCTGCGCAGCCTTTTAGAGGGAACACCATTCACTTGGGTGTCTGCTCTGTAATCTTCAACAGGAGCGTGATTCTCCTGCATTTTCCTGTGGCAGGTGAAGTTTAAGGTAGCTCCAAGAGCTTTTGAAATCTTTTTCCCTTCCCAAAAGAAAGAAAGCTAAGAAACTGTACTTTGTGTTTTTCAAAGCCTACATAATGCAAAAATGATGCTTCAAGAAAAATATCACATTTAGCAATTCCACAAGTGGGACGCAGCTATTTCTGCCTGTGACAGTGATCATAATTCAGCCGTCAGGTAACATCCAGTGAAATGGATAATGACTGCAGTGTGTCACTTCTGTTATGACTAAGCAATTAGTGTTTCCCAGTTCTCTGCCAAGCAGTCAAAAAGAAACAGTTTTACTAAACAAGTAAAAGTCTTAATGTAAAAATGAATCCCCTCTTTGTCTTTAAGAACATGTTATTTATGCATTTTGCTACACTAAGCATAAGCAACTTTATATTGTTCTACACAATAATCTAGGTATTAATATTGGGAACTACAAGACAGTTTTTTTTTTTTTAGATTTTATTTATTTATTTGAGAGGTAGAGTTACAGACAGTGAGAGGGAGAAACAGAGAGAAAGGTCTTCCTTCCGTTGGTTCACTCCCCAATGGCCGCAACGGTTGGAGCTGCGCCAATCCGAAGCCAGGAGCCAGGTGCTTTTTCCGGGTCTCCCACGCAGGTGCAGGAGCCCAAAGGCTTGGGCCGTCTTCTACTGTTTTCCCAGGCCACAGCAGAAAGCTGGATTGGAAGAGGAGCAGCCGGGTCTAGAACCAGCGCTCATGTGGAATGCCGGTGCTGCAGGCAAAGGATTAACCTAGTGTGCCACAGCGCCGGCCTCGGCCCCAACAGTTGGGTTTTTAAAAATATTATATTATGTATTTATTTAAAAGGCAGAGACAGATCTCTCACCTGCTGGCTCACTCCCCCAAATGCTTGCAATAGCTTGGCCTGGGTCCAGGTGAAGCCAGGAACCCAGAAATCAATCTTTGTCTTACACATGGGTGGCAAGGACCCAACTACTTCAGCCACCACCTACTGCCTCCCCAAGGGTGTGCATGTGCAGGAAGCTGGAATTAGAAGCAGAATCAGGTCGGGAACTCAGATGCTCCAACATGGGATACGAGGAACCCAAACAACATCTCTACTGCTGTGCCAAACATCCAAGGAAGTTGTTTTTGATGAGAGAAATATTAAAAGAACCACACTGTGGTATAGAAAGTTAAGTCTCAGCCTATAGCGCCGGCATCCTATATAGACACTGGTTCAAGTACTGGCTGCTCCACTTCTGACCCAGCTCTGTACTTATGTGCCTGGGAAAGCAGTAGAAGATGGCCCAAGTGCTTGGGCCCCTGCGCCCATGTGGGAGACCTGGAAGAAGCTCCTGGCTTCTGGCTTCAGCCTGGCCCAGCCACGGCTATTGCAGCCATTTGGACAGTGAACTGGTGGATAGATTTCTCTCTCTCTCTCTCTCTCTCTCTCTCTCCCTCCCTCCCTCCCTCCCTCTCCTCTCTCCCTCTGTATCTCTGCCTATCAAATAAATAAATAAAAATGTTTTTTGAAAAATAGAAGTATTCCAATGTTTGTCAATTCATATTTTTCATACCCAATTCTCAGTCCTTCAGTTTCCTTAGACTTTCATCATCTTGTCCTCTTAGCAACATTGTCATCATATACAATATAAATAATGTGATGAGAGTCTGACCTGAAAAGCAAATAATGGAGTTTAGCAGTTAAGAAGTACTAATTAAATACAAAGGATGTGCTAGCAACAATGTGCTAAAACTGGAAGGTACACAGCCACCAATGACATAAAATAAATCTTAAAAAAAAAAAAAAACAAAGATAAAATTAGGTTTCTCACTGGAACAGTCATTCTAGTTGAGACTTTGTACTCATGTTAAACTTATGATGATAGTAATGAAAATGATGATTGTGTGTCTGGGGCACTAATTTTTTAAAATTATTTATTTTTCATTCATTAGATATTTATTGAAAACCATAATGTGCCAAGTCTCAGGTCTCTCCAAGCTCTGCCAAACAACTGTCTCATATGAAGAAACATTCTTTATCAAATTAAGACTTTTGAACTGGCTCATTTCACAATACAGCACCATTACTTTTAGAATTATCATTAAAGCATTTCCTAATTTTTCTTTTTCCATTTTTAAAAGATTCATTCATTTATTTGAAAGAGTTGCAGAGAGAAAGAGAGGGAGAGGCAGATCATCTATCCATCAGTTCACTTCCCAAAGGGCCACACCACAATGGTCAGGGCCAGGCCAGGATAAAACCATGTAACAAGAGCTCCATTTGGGTCTGCCACATAGGTGTAGGGGCCCAAGCACTCAAACCAGCTTTCACAGCTTTCCCAGACACATTAGCAGGGAGCTAGATGGGATGTGGAGCAGCCAGGACTTGAGCTGGCATTCATATGGGATGCTGGCAGCCCAGGAGGCTGCTTGAGCCACTGCGTCCCCCCCCCTTTTTTTTTCTTCATGTTTTTATCCTCCATATCTTGCCTTATTAGTGATTTTTAAAATATTTTATTTATTTATTTGAGAGGCAGAGTTATAGACAGAGAGAGGGGGAGACAGAAAGGTCTTCCATCAGCTGGTTCACTCCCCAAATGGCCACAACGGCCAGAGCTGAGCTCCGATCCAAAGCCAGGAGTCAGGAGCTTCTTCTGGGTCTCCCATGCTGCTACAGGGGCCCGAACACCTAGGGCATCTTCTACTGCTTTCTGAGGCCACAGCAGAGAGGTGAATTGGAAGAGGAGCAGCCGGTACATGAACTGGTGCCCATATAGGATGCTGGCACCTCACGCGGAGGCTTAGCCCACTATGCCAATTCCAAAACCAGAAACAATGTATTTAACAAAGCTCTTCAGCTGTAAGAAATAGAAACATGGTAAACTAGCTCCAGTAACTGAATCATGGAATGATTACAGCAGAAATTCTCATGGACTCCAAGGACAGGAAACAAAATATGTGCAAGTGACCTTGAGCTCAGAACGGAAAAGCCAAGACCAAGTGACACCTTCACTCATGAGACAACATGGTTCTCTCTCTCTCTCCCCCCTTTTCATCACATAGTTTCAGATCTCTACCCACTCCCACCCCCCACCCCCACTCAGCAGATGACTTCGGCTTTCTATAACACAGCCTTTAGTGCCAGCCCTACTTGTTAAACTCACTGTTACCAAATAAATGTAGTCTTTTAGGGTCTCAATTCCCATTCCTGAAGGACAACCTAATTGACCTGCTTTGTCCACTGCCAGGGCTGCTCCTACTAAAAGAGGTCCATGAGGTAGTCTCTCTGTGAAGGAGGTGTGGGAGAGGAATCATCCCAAAATACGTCTACCGCAGGTAACAGCAGATCTATTATCTACTTCATTTATGCTTACATAAACTGAAGCATAGTAATATTGAAAACTCAGATCCTCATCGCATTTCAACTGCTCAGTGGCCACAAGTGGTTCATAGTGTATTGGTGAGGCAAAACGTTCCCATTGTTTCAGAAAGCTCCACTGAGCTGCTGTAGATGGGTTAAACAAATCAGCAAAAGCTGGAAATTTTCTTAGAATCCGAGTAAGATGACAATCACTATTAATTTTTACAATTCTTCCCACACTCCCAACTCTCTAACCAACCAATTTACAAATCACCTCTTTCCAAAGCCTCCTAATTTTCCAAGAAGAAATTGAATTTATTACCATAAAATGATTAAGCAACAAAGTAAAATCTGGGACTTCCCAAGTCGATTTAGGACAGCCAGTACCCCTACCTATGTTTCAGCTTTCCCTTTGTGGATTGTTTGATTTGATATGTACTTCTTCCACTTATTTC